CTTTATTTTACTAAAATTCAGCACTTATATTATATATTTTGCTAAAATTCAGCACTTTATATTATATATTTTACTAAATCCAGCACTTTTTTTTTTTATTCGCCCACTAAAAATTTCAGTATTATTATATAAATTTTTAAAATTCAGTATATACTATATATTTAAAATTAAGCACTACTATATATATTTATATATAGATTTTAAATTTCAGCAGTATAATGCGACTAGATGTTCTGCACCATACCTAAAACGTTTGAGCCCATCATTCAGATTGAGAACATTTATTAAATTAATGTGCGTTAAGATATTATACATTCTATAGATGATGGATCAAAATGAAATAATTTTTATTTGTTTTCTTTGCACTACTTAATATCTTTGATAGTTTTACTTTGAATCTTTGACTCATTATCAGATAAAGTAAAATTATTATTAAAAGTGACCGTACAAATAAATAAAAAACTAAATATCGAAATTTATTCCGGAAGGAAATGTAATCGTGATCTGCGAATTATATATTTACTATTGTTCAAAAAAGTTTGGAATTGTAAATTGACATAATCACCAGACATTATTTTTTAGCATTCTAATATACATCTCTAATAATTATGATCTTTGTACATTTTTAGAACGTGATTACAAAGTTATTAGTTGTGATTGTATTCGTAGCAGAGCAGTTATAGTTAAAAAATTATGAATTATCTTGTGTATAACTATAATGATCACTAATCTTAAGATTGCAAAAATGTCTAAAATGTTTTCCTTTGCTTGTGCTATTTGTATTGCTTGGATCATATTTACTGCCGGCATTATAGTAAGTTAAACGACTTTATTAGAATACAAATAACCTATAACCTCTTTCTTACCTCTTGCATTATTTTTTAGTTGCTTCCCATCTTCAGCGTTCTTCTTATGATCGCTTGTATCAACTGCATTAGCTACTTTGGCATTAACGGTGGTATCCTAATCCTAAAATATTTCGGAATACTTAATAATAGTAAGATCTTGTGTAATATGATTATCCAGTCACATAAATTGCTCTCTAGTTTTTTTTTTTTTTTAATATTCAGACATTCGAACATGTTACAAGTCCACAAGCATGAAATAGATCTAGACAATTTAGATTTTAATCGTTCCTATACTCTTGAAGAGTTTGAATACATCAATGAACAGCTAAAAACACGTACGTTGATAGTTGATGGAGAACCCGTAAATCTTTTTGAACTTGATGAGAAAGGACATCTAATTGTCATGCCACAAACACCATACTGTAGAGAAAAAGTTGTTTTCGAAATCTCAAGACAACTTGAAAATTGGATTCTTAGTAGTCGGGATGGTGGAGGTGGTACCTGTTCACAAGGCGGATTCAATTTCTACGTCAGAGGCAATAGGACGATTAGAGCCCCAGATATTGCATATACACCAAAAGATGTAGACCATAATTTGAATCCTCAACAAAATTGGACTTTCAAGGGAGATCCATTTACTCCCATAT